CATTAGGTGGGCGATTAGGGATCTCCACAACTTCCTATCATTTGTAGTTATAAACAAAATTTGTCTCCTTACTGTCCTTCCCAAGACGTTTATGCTATCCGTTTTCAAAAGCTTGTTACTCAGATTACCGTATTTCCGGCTTACAGGACGTTGCATCTTAGAAAACGCGCCCTAATATTGGAAAGAAATTTCTAAGGAAAAAAAAGTCATTCTCATATACCAACACATTCACCATGTGTTCCTCACACACTGACGCTACGTGTTGTTTACATTAATCACTCGTCTGATTTTATTTGTATGACAATGACATACTAGTCAAGAGCAGAAAGGCTCCAACCACTGTTAGTAAACAGAGTATGTTTAAGCTTGTGGCTCGGCCCCAGGAAGGTTTATAGTCTTGGAAATACTTGTAACAGCTAAGTACTGAGGTTACAACATATAAAAGGCTGAATTAGATAGACAGCTAACATTATAGTGTAATGACTCAACATACAAATCCATGTCCCTATCAGTCAAACCAATTAGGTGACCGTCCAAGCTTACCTGAGCCTGGGCGTTGCCTTACATTCGTCTTGGAAGAGGCACACGTATTTTTAGGTATTTTTTTAGGAAAAAAGGTGTGTCTTGTAAGCCTGGAAATACAGTAATCACTGTTTCTCGCTTGTTTTTATTCTATCCTGTGAGTACCTCTTATATAAAAGGGCACTGAAATCTTTTATAACAAGTCAGAAGACGCTACAGCAAAGCAACTGAAATGATCCAAAGCCATAAAAATCACCAACGTATTTTGTTATATGAGTCTTATGAAATAAGAAAAAAACTACTTTTCTCTAAGATTCGGAATTTGCAGTATCATTCTTTCCGATCTTTCACTTCTGCATGCAATGGTATTTTACCAAATAAATATAAGATGATGTGAGATAATAGATATAAAAGATATCTTATGAATTTATTCAGGAGTTGTTTAGTAGGTTACAAAATAAATATATGATTCTGTAAAGTATGTTGTAGTTGAAGATACTAAAAATACCTTACGGAACAGCTACTGCTAAAATATTAATTCATTGTAATTTCATAGTGAGTAAAGACAAAAATAAATGCTAAGGGATTTAGTCAATTTTATATGATTTAAATAATGATCAATAAGACAACAATGCATTTCTGTTCCTGAAAACAGTTTTGGGTGTGACTGTCACGTAAGTAACTGGAAGGATAGCAACAGCGTCTAGGGTGGCTCAAAAGGTTCAAAATATGTTTAGTCATTTTGTCAGATTTTGGGAAGTGGGTGGATATAACAAATTTTCACTGCAGCTTCTTATATCGTTAATTTATTTAAAAAGAAAATTCATAATATTAAAATATTTAAAACAGCTCATCAGATAATTACGAATATTTTTTCTAGTTTATCTCTCGTTAAGCACGAAGTTATTCATACTTTCAAAATAATGATTTTATCTACTCCAAATTAACATATAAATAAAAAAAGTGAAAGAAACAATCTTTGGCCCTAAAATATATCTTTTGACGTCCTGGATGATAACGGCTCTTCACAACTTTCTCTCTTTTGATTCACTATATAAGTTGTGACACTTCATTTTAGGGCAATTGCAGTAGGTGTAGAGAGTTCGATCTTGACTGAGTACTCAATACATTCGACCTTGTGCCACATGTAAGTACGCTTACAAAATCTTTATGTTCCGCCATACTTCCATTCGGATTCGTTATGTAATTGATTGTTTTTTGGTTTCTTTTGCTTTTGTGACATACGGTTGTCGTTAATAATTAATTATAACTCAAGACTTCAATGTTAAAATAAAGCAGTTTTTAATTACAACCACAAATAAATACTTAACAAATACAAAGAAGAAAAGTCAATCAAAGATAATTAACCATTTCAGTGAATACCAAGCTTGGCTGGGCTTAATTTCTGGTAAATCCTAAATCAAACCCAAATCATCGACGCACAATAATTCACACTAATTCGACTGGATAGTTCCACTCAATAATCACTTAATAATCACTGCATTCAGTAGCCTGACACCGTTATTTATACAGATGGCGGTAAACATATATTCATAAGTCCAGAGTGACACGTTCGAACCTTGGTGTCGGTAGGTACTCATTTTCTTCCAATATGACACTTGCCTTCCGTGTAGCCTGTGAATGTGAAATCCTGTTTTCGTTACGTGTGCTATTAACGGTTCACAATGTCTCTTTCTGATTAGAAGTATGAGTTTACTTACGAATAAAACAAACATTAGTGATACAGGATGTGATTTGAATTGTCTCCCTTAGATAAGAGTCTTCCTCACTTCCTTTAAAATGTTCCCCGACTGGAGTTAAATAGAAGAGAAAATTTGCAATTTTCTCCATTAATTGTCAGTAGGAAAACAGTTGCCATTCTTAAGATGAAAGAACTTGGTGAAAAGCACAGTTTAAAGATTGTGCCTGTTCACAATAAGGGAAAAGATTTAGAAGACATTTCCAAGTAATTCAAATAAAAATGTCCGAAATTTTGCAGGGAAATGGTGGTTTTCTAAGCATAGATTAGATATGGCAAAAAGTCGAATGGCACACCCAGTGAGAATCGAACTCACTATGCAGTTGTAACGTAAGTTTGTTAACCATTACACTAAGTTAAAGTACACTACGTTAGCATGGAAATGAATAATTTCAGGTTTGTCTGCATAGCATGAGATAGAGAGTGAGGGGGGAGAGAGAGAAAGAGGGAAGAGAGAGGGAGAGAGAGGGCGAAAAGAAGAAGGGGAAGAGAGAGGAAGAGAGAGGGGGATGAGAAAGGAAAAGAGAGAGGGTAAGAGAGAGAGTTGTAAGAGAGAGGGGAAAGGAAAAGAGAAAGAGAAAGGTAGAGGGTAACAGAGAAGAAGAGAGAGAGGGGAAAGGAAAAGAGAAAGAGAAAGGCAGAGGGTAACAGAGAAGAAGAGAGAGAGGGGAAAAGAGAGGAAGAGAGAAAGTGTGTGTGTGTGTGTGTGTGTGTGAGAGAGAGAGAGAGAGAGAGAGAGAGAGAGAGAGAGAGCAGTGGCCTGGAGACCAGTTAATACGAGTCTTGTCTTTTGGTCGTCAATAATGGAAAACACAAAACCTTGATAAAGAGCTTGTCACCGGTCAAAGTAATTGAACGGCTCTGAAATGAAAATGACTACCTTTAAAATTTGAAAAGACCAAGGAACAGAGAAGGATAAAGAAACAGAGAAAGCGATAAAAAGATAGAAAGAAAGCAAAAGAGATTAGAAAGAGAATTAGAGGAACGAATAGGTAAAGACATAGAGAAAGAGATAACGAGGGAAAAAGAATAATGAATAAACAAACGAAATAGAATGATGCAAAAGGGGAAAAGAAAGAAAATAAGAAAGAATGTAAAAGACATGGAAGAGAAAATATCAATTCTATAACAACACGAACAGCAAAATCGGCATTGACTGGAGACGGGCCTTAATCATCTGCTGTTTAAAATATTAGAAAAGAGGCCAAAAATCGATGTTAAAGCTAAAGTGAGTTTTGCGGTGGTCCGACAGACCTTAGGGACATTGATAATAGCTTTTGAACTGGGAACTTACCCCAGGCTCTGTTAAAATGGAAAAGGAGTACTTTCACTGACAGGTGCGACTGTGGCCATAGACAAGAAAGTGGTTCTTTGGCTAAATTGGAATTTCTCTTGGAGAATTTATCAGAAGTAAAATTGTCTGTAAATCATCATTATATTCCAAACTGAATATCTATCTATCTATCTATCTATGATAGTCTATTCATATCTATCATAGACTATTCATATCTTAGTATGTTCATTATCTATCTATCTATCTATCTATCTATCTATCTATCTATCTATCTATCTATCTCTATCTATCTATCTATCTATCTATCTATCTATCTATCTATCTATCTATCTATCTATCTTTTCGTCTGTTCCTATCTATCTATCTATCTATCTATCTATCTATCTATCTATCTATCTCAGTCTTTTTCATATCTATCTATCTATCTATCTATCTATGATAGTCTATTCATATCTATCATAGACTATTCATATCTTAGTATGTTCATTATCTATCTATCTATCTATCTATCTATCTATCTATCTATCTATCTATCTATCTCAACCTGCTCCTATCTATCTATCTATCTATCTATCTATCTATCTATCTATCTATCTATCTTCATTTTGTTTCTATCATAACTGCGTTTTGCATGAAACTGACTTCAATTACTTTTATATATAAAAACACACACACGGGCGTGCGTACACACACAAACACACGCGCCCGCGTACACACACAAACACACGCGCGCAGACACACACACACACACACACACACACACACACACACACACACACACACACACACACACACACACACATATATATATATATATATATATACTGTGTAATTAGGTAGAAGTTGTCCTCCTAAACAATTTTTATTAAAAAAGAAATGATAGATATGTTATGCCTATTGAATTTATCTATCGTCTCTAACAAACTGCAAATCATCTTTCGCAAATATGACAGCTTCAGATGACCCAAAATATCAGGGTTGTGTCCAACATTTTGACTTGCATATGAAATCAACCTAGAGGGCCAGGTAGAGTGATGTAACCCATTTTTTAACGTGTCATATTTTCTTTGAAATTGGATCCGAAAAATCTAAACGCAGAAATTTCAAAGAAATAACAAATATAATAAATAAATAAATAAAACAATGGAAATGATGTCGTATAAATTCAATAGGCATCATAGGATGGCTGTCCTTTTTCACACCCACACGCTTGCGCTCGTGCGCACACACACATATGTGCGAGGTTGCGGTCATGAAATTACGACCATGAAATTACGACACTGACAACTTACGTTTATTACTGTTGGCTGACGACAGCTAAATGTCAAAGGAATAATGGCGGCATCTGACCGACTTTAAAAATCTACGAGAGCGCGGTTAATTTACGAACGCATTTCGTTGTAGTAAGACACTGTCTAACGTTCAATGCATCGCTTTCGAACACACACTCTCTCTATTTATCTACATCTCTCTTTCTGTCTGTCTGTCTGTCTCTCTGTCTGTCTGTCTGTCTGTCTGTCTGTCTGTCTCTCTCTCTCTCTCTATATATATATATATATATATATATATATATATATTGCGTTTCAAATCATTAACGAGGTGACATTTTTTCATTTTGTCCAAATACTAGCAGTCAGAATTTTACAAAATGTTCACAGTATAATGGGAGTAGATATACGCGTAGTTTGTATAAAAACTATATTGTTCTGCGCGAAGGGAAACAAGCGGTGGCCATTTGAAATATTAACACGATATAGAAGTGTTCCAGACTATAGACGAGTGTCATTGTAATCATGCAATTATGAGTCGCAAATATGACTTGACCCATTCTGAAAAAGATATTATAACATCTGAACTTTCCAAAGGTAAATCTACATTAGAAATAACCAAAATAATTGGAAGATATCACCAAACTATGAAAAGATTTGTTGCAGTTCCTATGAAGCTACGTAACATGGCCGATAAGGGTCACACGAGAGTTTTTTTCCCGATGTTTTGTTACAAAAGGTGAAGCTGTAAATAACACAGGCCTGACCAGTGGAGTACTTTTCAGGAGTATTGAAGAAGGAACAGCGTCCAGAAGTACTCTCTATCGTTTTCTGAAAAAAGATTGGGACATCAGTGAGACCAGTGACAAAGCGTCGACTGACAAAATTACACATACAAATGCGTTTGAAATGGGCAAAGGAGAACATGAAGGTAGATTTCTCGAAAGTTCTGTTGACAGATGAAAATCGTGCAATATTTGACGGCCCTGGAAATTGGAGCAACGGTTGGGTCGTAGATGGATGAGATCGTCATCAACGTTTGACACACCAACAAGGAGGAAGAGGTATGATTTGGGCTGGTATTATTGGAGGTATCATGGTTGGTCCGTGGAGAGTGCCTGACGATAGATGCTTATATAGTCTTCCTCAAAAATCACCTGGAATCTTGGCTCAAAAAGCAAAGAATCACATTCAGGAGCTCCATCATATTTATGCAAGATAATGCTCCTTGGCATTCAGCGCATAAAACTACGGAGTACCTGCAGAAATTAGGCTTCTGTGGACCTTGGAAGATGAACTTGCTGGTCAATTCTCGAACGGAGTACCTCCAGAAATTAGGCTTCTGTGGACCTTGGAAGATGAACTCGCTGATCAATTCTCGAGACTTAAACCCAATTAAAAACTTGTGGAGAATTCTGAAGCGATGTGTTTATGAGACTTGACGCCAATTTAGAAGCAAGGGTAACTTATGGCAGGAAATTTTCAACCTATCACATGAAATTATATTAGAGGAGATCCAGAAATTTACATGTTTGATGGACCAGCGCATTTTCCAAGTCATTTTTAAAAAGGATCACATATCTCATTATTAACCAAATGCTCTCTCCTTTTTGAACGCTGTTTACTTTTTTATTTCGATCTAATTTCATCTTAGTTACTGTATGAATCCATAAAAATCTGTAAATGAAGCAGTTAAAGTTGTTTTCTTTTTTACATGGGTTTTTATTATACTTCGATAATAATTTGACACACTAATAATTTAAATAAATTAAGTAAATGACCGTAACTTCTATTCTCTTTTGTAGAACATTAAAATTTTTACATAGAAATGCACTATATATATTAAGACATTCTTATACATTCTTTTTATAGATACAAATATTTAAGTAAATGCTCTGTTTATAATAAACAGTATTAATAACATTTACCGGCCTGAATGTCCGAGATATTTTCATAGAAAATATTCGTCCTCCGACAGGAATCGAACTTGTACCCTATACGGAGCCGTCATTTAGCATGACGTGCCTTTAACCGATTGGGCCACAGTGAACCGTTCGGTTAGCCAGGTCGATTTTAATGTCTTTAAACAACAATCTTCCATGATTCTCTCACGTACATTCATATCTGCTCATCGCGTATCCAAATGTAAACAAATGACGTCACACTTTATGAAATGGACAAAGTCCGACAATTATTTTAAGACATTTTTATGTTTATACATTCTTTTTATAGATACAAATATTTAAGTAAATGCTCTAGTGTTGAAACATAATTGCCATTATGTAGCGATTTTTAAGATGTTTTAAAATGCTAAAATAAATAATATTTACCTCTACTTTGTAGTGAGCTATTTTTTAAATTAAATGTTACGTACAGTGGAATTATACTTCACTTATTCTTATTTTACTTATATATATATATATATATATATATATATATATATATATGTGTGTGTCTGTGTGTGTGTGTGTGTGTGTGTGTGTGCATCACATATGTGCCACACTTTTTCAATTAAAGGGGTATAACTCTCTAACTCTTCAATAGCTCATGTTACAGATTCTCAATTTTTATTAGTACGATAGTTTTCTGCGATTCTTTTTACTGATTTTTTGCGACGAATTTTATGTACGATAACAATTTTTATAACTTGAAAATAAGTTTGGAAAAAATCGAAGTTAAATTTTAAATTTCTGATACTGAAACGAATACAGTCCATACACAGCGGGGGTTGAATAAGACCGACGCAAATCGCGTTGGTTGAAATAGATCTATCCACCCTTATGAGGTAATTTGGGATTTTCTTGTGTAATCTATCTATCTATCTATCTATCTATCTATCTATCTATCTATGAAGAAATATAGTTTTAAGATGTGCTATATTTAAGAAATAAAATGCTCACTATCAGGTATAGAGCGTATATAAATATAAAATGTGGCCTGATGACTGCGTTGAGCATCAAACAGTCTGTCGCCTCTGAGTGTTAATTGCAATGTTCACTTATATATATATATATATATATATATATGCATATTATTTTCTCGTGTTATTAATTCATTTTAAGTATGAACGCACACAAACACACACAATTTATATATATATATATATATGTATATATATATATATATCTTATTTGCTCGTGTTATTTTATTTTAAGCATGAACACACTCATACACACAATTTATATATATATATATATATATATACATGTATGTAGAGAGAGGGAGAGAGGAGAGAGAGAAAGTAAGGGGGCACTTATTCCTATATCAAATTCACTTTAATTCTCCAGGTTCAAATCTGTTGTTTGTTATCAAAGGTGTTAGATGACCACTTCTACCAACTCAACATCCATAATTCTTTTGATAAATGAATGGGTAACGCCCATTGCATTTTAGGCGCATTGAGTCCATCAGGTTCACCTACGATAGACTACTGACCCTCGCTGACCACTGCCGACAGCAGCTCCACTCTAATGAAACATGATCACTGATCAAACATCTCTCCCTCATCTGCTTTACCTATAATGTTTGTTGAAAAAGCTTGACCCCATCGCCTTGATGGTCATGGCCTTCATTTCTTTAAATGTCACTTGAGGTAGTCACATTGCCAAAAAGGCTCGCTTGCCGTCCAATGATGAATCACTTGGAGGCGACGTGTGAAACTTACCATATGAGGTGGACACGTTAATCATATCACCCTGACTGATGTGCGGAGTCACTACGTACGATGTTCTGATAGTCGATGCCTGATTCTTTTTTTTTTTTTTTTTTTTTTTTTCTTCACCTTTTCTCTTTTCTTCTTCCTTTTTGGCGTCTTTCATTTGGTAAATCTTTCTTTATTTCATTCATAAATTCATTTTTTTTTTAGTTTTTCTTTTCTTTTTTTCCCTTCTTGTCCTTCTTTCATTTACAATTTTATTTTCTTACAAATATATTTTCAAACGAATTCTATGAGCAAACGAAAAAGAATTATGGATCAACTTTGGCGTAGTAGGTGGAATTAGCGGGTTTAATTCAGATTCTACACGAATCTGTTGCGTTCACTTTCGTAAAAATGCCGTTGGGAAAAGCCGGAATTTCTCTTTTCTCTCCGATGCTATGGGTTAAATAGTAGATTAGACTTGGATCTATAATTTTGAATAGAAAACAGTTTGAGCAAAAGATTACTGTGAAAGTATACCTCTCGAGAAGGCTACGGGAAATAATTGAACTATAGATTCTAAGATGACAGACGAATTCACAATATGTCGCAATGATTGCTTATATACTGAGAGGAGATAGTATTAAATAAAAATATAAAATATTTATAAAATATAAAATAGACTTTCATTTCCTTCTATAGCGTCAGAGACAATTTCGCAGCGCTAAAATTTGTTACATTTTATTTTCTGTTTCATTTGTAGAAAATCCTAAATAGCTTATTACATGATTCTTTGTTAGTGGAATTCGTCAAAGCTTGGCCTTCGACTCTGCACAAAGCATACAAAATGGTTGACAATCCTGGATCTTTTCCTGATTAAATATAAATGGAAATTTGTTAATTTCTGCTACTTAGTTCTTACATTTTATTTTATACTTTTTCCTTTTTTCATCTTTAATCTTTTCAATCTTCGTTTGGTTGTTTCATCGTTATTGCTCATTTTTATATTTTTATTGATTCTGAATGTTTCATCATTGAAATACATTCATCAATGATCTTTTCACTATTCTCTTCATATTTCAGTCATTCATTTGCTATATTCGTTGATCCTTCTCTCTCATTCTTTTATTTCAGTGTTTTTCTCTTATTTCCTTTGTCTTTTTCAATGTTGCTTCGTTTTACACTTATCATTTAATTTTTCCTTCGTGAATTTTTTCTTTTCTTAATATGCCGTACTTCCTTTTCTTTCTTCCATTTCCTTCTTTTTCTTATTATTTCTTTCATTTCCTTCTTTTTCTTATAATTTCTTAAATTTCCTTCTTTTTTCTATTATTCCTTTCGTTTCATTCTTTTTCTTAGAATTTCTTTTTTATTCTCTTTTGCCTTAATTTTGTTTTATTCTTGTTTTAAATTTATTCTAATTTGTCCAACATTTCCGATAAAAAAATCTTCTTACCTTTCTTTCGACGTGTTTTTCATCATTCATTTTGCATCTTTTCGACATCTTTTTTCATCGTTTTTATTTGTTTGCTTGTTCGTTGAATTTATTTAACGTTTTTGGCGTCCATTCTTCTTCCTCATCACAACTCTTCTTTCATCTGGAATTCTTAATTTCTCTCCTTCTTCTTTCTTGCCTTCCTTCATTCCGTCTTTATCGAAAATTACTTTTTCATCTTTTTTTACCTTTCTAATATTTATCATTCTTCCTTTCTTTCTATTCGTAAATTTGTTTCTTTATTCAACGTTTCTTTATTTATATGTGGATATGTCGTTTAGTTATTAACGCTTAGACTAGTTTAGCACAAGGCACAGTACTTAGAAAAGAGCGGATTCTCTCCAGTAGAACTGGTCTGTCAATTAAACTTTGTGTCACAGTGAGGCATCCGTATTTGGTGTAAATATATATTTTATCCCGTTCGTCTTTCTTTCCGATTTCATTCACTAGCTATCTCTTTTCTTCTTGCTTTCTATTAAAACGATTCTTCCGACCAGCCTTTCCGAAGTGTTCTCTTGCCTTCTTTCCTATTTTATTGCGAATGTCGTATTAAATCTCTTTTTTTATTTGTTCATTACTCTCAATGAAAACACTTCCTCTCTCTGTCCTTACAGCATTTCAATCCTTGCTCCATTTTACCCCCATTGATTTTCTACTGTCTCTTCCTGGTCATTATCTGTGTCCATCTCTCATCCGGATCGTTTCTCGCTTCTCCCATTGTGCCAAATTACATATTATTGTTGACTTTAGCCTCGCCTCGCGCGTTTCACTCAGAAAACTATCCGCGACGTTTGATTTCTGATGCCAGTCTTTTATACACTTCTTCCGTTATTTCCGATTAGAGAACGCCCCTCAGGTCGAAAGGTTACGTCTTTATCGCCGCAATGATTAACCCCTTCTCCAGCACATCAGAGTCAAGTTACAGGTTCGAATCCCACCGGGTTCCGAATATTAACATTTATGTTTTGGCCTCATATCTGTGTGATCTGGGAATCGTATAATAAAACTAGTTTTCGCATACATTCGATTTCTGGGGGTTTACCGCCATTTTAAATCGGTGGCATTTTACGCCAGGTTTTCAAGGCGAGATAAATGACATGAATACACGCTTCTCCGTGGAGACTGACGCTACACAATCGTGATTCATAACACTGTGTCACATTTGTATGATCCAATTGTAATGTTCTTTTTTTTTCAAATTAGTCTGCAGACGTTATTGAGAAGAAATGCATAAGGAATAAAAAGCCAACATTATTATTATTAATTATATTTTTATTATATGAGGCTCATTTTCAAGAGATGTATATAAAATAAATAATATCTGTACTCTTGTATTCGAAGATACCCATCGACTAGGGCTGCTAGCCAATGCCTGTTGCAGACGTCCGCACAGGCACATTTGTGTTTGCTCAATATCCACAGAGCCCACCTGTGGTTTATACTGAAACTATGCTGAGCAGACCTTAATTACAGCTCCCACTACTCAATATATATATATATATATATATATATATATATATATATATATATATAGTCTTAAGGTGTGGTATATTTATGGGATAAAGTTCTCAATATCAGAGATAGAGCGTGTCTAAAAGTGTACATTGAAGTCAACACTTAGAGCATGACACAGACTGTCGCCTCTAAGTGTTGACTTCAATATTATATATATATATATATATATATATATATATATATATATATACTACAGGTTGCGGCATTGATGCATTCATCTAGCAAATGTATTACCATTATGTGAGAGGTATATTTGTGAGTTATATGTCGTAGGTATTTCTGCTGCACCTAGTGTATATATATATATATATATATATATATATATATATATATATATATATATGTGTGTGTGTGTGTGTGTGTGTGTGTGTGTATGTATGTGGTGCTGTTCAATTTATATTACAATGAATCATTCATACAAAAAAGTAGATTAGTAAAGTTAGTGATATAAAATGGCCAAATCCCTTCGCAAACAAAATTTTAAAGGTGAATTAGCCTACAAATCACTCGATGAATGCTATGATCCTTGTTTTTAAAAATTATAAGCTGTATAAGGTATTTCTTTAATACGCAAGTACTTTCAACTGTACATTCAGTCATCATCAGGCATGGAAATTATTTTGTTCTAGGTAAAACTCAGGTAGCTTCTTAAATTTTCAAAGAAATTCAACCTTAGCGTTGCGACTGCATGCTCCAAAAGTTTGTATCCGTTAACAATAACACATTTCAAAGAAAACACGTTTCGATTCTCTTTAATTTTTCGTCTCTTTTGTATATGAATGATTCATATATATATATATATATATATATATATATATATATATATATATATATATATATATATATATAGTAAGAATAAAACCTAAATCTTAAAATAAGGTAAAAGATTAAAAAAATATACTGAAGGCTCGCACTATATATATATATATATATATATATATATATATATATATAGAGTGTGGCACCTTTGGAAAGTGCTTCAGAAACATACGACGTGTTGTAAGTGTAATTGGGTAGACGGAACTACTTGCAAATCGTCGATGTTGTACTAACATTTTATAAGTGATCATGACACAGGCTTTGGGTTTAATAGCCTCGTTCATTCACCCATAAACTAACCTCCCCTCATATAAATATATACATAGTAGGCCGGCGAACTAAACTGAAGATTGCGTTTATCATGTAACACTGTCGCCTCCGAGTGTTGACCCCAATGTTTACTTTCGTATTTACAAACGCTCTATCCCTGATACTGCGCACTTTAACCCATAAATATAGTATAACTTAAACAGTATGAATGTTTGTTGGGGGTTCGCTGTTGTCTTTAGATCTTTGTGTTCATTTTTTCCTGCTCTTCATTACACATTTTCCCGTTATTTTAATCTAAGTTAAATCTCCCGTAGAGGCCTGAAGAGCGGGATCGAAACCGGTTGCTTCGCTTTTAAAAATGTCATTTAATATTAAGCTGCACACTTTCATTTCTTTAATTAGATTTTGTACCTTTAAAAATATTTTCATAACTTAAAGCTATATATATATATATATGTATGTGTGTGTGTGTGTGTGTGTGTGTCTTTTGTGCACGCGCCTGAGCGCTTACTCTAGCTCGAAGATTGGAAACGATTAATCTATTTTCTTACGTTATTTAATAAAAATGAGATCTTATAGTTATGAAATAAATTTAGTCTACAAAATGACTACAGTAGTCGGGCACCCAGTGAGGATCGAATTCAATACACTTCGAAACTGGTTAACAATGGTGCTACCGTATTTATCCAGATTTACACCAATCTTAATTTCGTATCATATTGCTTGTCTGACGATTTGCCGTGAAAATCAGCATTCGGCGTTCTGAATTTTACTCAGACTCGAAAACTGTCCTTTCATCGTAAAAGTTTGTTTAGGTATAATTTTTTTTAAGTGAATGTGTTCCAGTTTCCAAAAGATAAGTCGAAGCCTCATTCTGTCGCTCTGCTAATGAAAAATTTTGTCACGAATTTTTTTTTTATCGATTCTTCTTAAAAATTACTCATGGCAGAAGAATGCCACTCCGACCGGAGTCTGACCCATCAGGTGTGATAATTATCAAATAAGATCATTTTACAAAAGTGGCAAATGTGCCACTCACGCCTTCACCGTGGGACTGGCGGCGAGTTGGGCGTTGATGAGAGACAGGCAAGCCGGGATGCAAAGAAGAAGAAGAAGAAGAAGAAGAAGAAGAAGAAGAAGAAGAAGAAGAAGAAGAAGACCCCTTTTAAAAGACGGTGATCTGTGTAATTTATTAAACATAGCACTCTCTTGTTGATTGACACTGGAACGACCACATTCATTTCGTAGCGTCGCAGCGGCCGACATTTTGGTATTTCCCCGGTGCTAAGCGCCCATGAAGGGAAATAAAACATGACAATGGCACTAATAATAGTTTTCATCCAATCACGTGCCAATTGCAACGAAGAAGATATTAACGCTTGCTTTCATTTTCTTATGATTCGACTGGCGATAGAAATGAAATAAACTTTCAGCATCTTTCGACAACGTAGTTTGTCGAAGAGAGAGATATTTGTCACGTCGGTGAGAGATAAAGATACAAAGTTGCGAAAACGATAAATATTTTAGTAGCTTTCCGACACTATTGTTTGTAATCTATCTATCTATCTATCTATCTATCTATCTATTACAGCCTGTTCATATCTATCTATCTATTACAGCCTGTTCATATCTATCTATCTATCTATGAAGGATTGCTGTTTTTCGACTGCCAAGAAACCATTCCTCAAATTTCTACTCTTTGGTCAGACATTCATGAGTGCAGCTTATTTATTCGCATCTATATTGTTCTGACGCTATCTATCTCGGTCTCTCTTTCTCTCTCTCTCTTTCTATCTATCTATCTAGAGAGAGAGAGAGCCAGAGAGAGCCAGAGAGAGAGAGAAAGAGAGAGAGAGAGAGAGAGTGTGTGTGTGTGTGTGTGTGTGTTAGGAGAATTCCGGCAATAAGATAAACAGACATTAAGAGCGAATCAGAGAAATGACGAAATTTCTTTCGGTTAGGCTCTCACACTGTCGCTATATCCTTTTAAACTAAGATGGTATCAGCAGATTTCTTCATTTAGCAACAATGCGCACCATAACCGAACATCCCTATCCAAATATTTTTGCTATTTAATAGAATTCAATAAAACCCCACAATAAAATAGAAAATATATATATAAAAAAATGATAATTTGTAATTCCTTAAATGACCCATGTCCCCTGTGTTTGCATGAAAAGCTGCATATAATCAAGTTTCTTAATAATAATGACCTCTTAAATCGACGTAATGAAATAATAGTATTTTGTAAGAATTGTATAATGTTTACGTTAAAATATTGTTAATAGAATTTTTCGAAAAAGATACTATGTATTACATTTACTATAGCCATTATTTTATTAATATACAGGGCGTCCATAAAGTTCGTGTGCACTTTAAAAATATATAGCTTTATTTGTATTTACGATAGAAATAATTTGTAAGAAGGATTAAAAAATAATTAAAAATAATGATAGTCTGTTTTGCTGCATGAAAAATTAAAAAAAAAACAGACTATCATTATTGTTTCGTCCATGTATTGTTTGATATATTCAAATGTAATTGACATCTTTGATAATGGCTTATGTAAGCCGAAAGCTTAGATTGAATTTAAACATGTATCAATATGGTGATCTCCTTTTGTCCTTCAATGATAATGTTATTAAGCTTATCAGACAATATGAAAGGAACTAACTTAAAATAAGTAGACACAACTTGTCTATATTATTTAATGAAACATGCTTCAATGAAAAATTGCTGCCTAAATATACACTATATATATATATATATATATATATATATATATATATATATATGGAGAAAGAGGGTATATTTCAAAAAAAATATAAAACACACACTGATAGGGAAATATATAAACTATCAGATAGATAGAATGAGGAAATGACTAACCAACATAAAATATACACATAAATACATACACACACACACACACACACACACACACGCGCACACACACGCGCGCACACACATACACATACACACACACACGTACACACACACACACATATATATATATATATATATATATATATATATGTATATATATGTATATACATATATATCATAATACCCGATTGTTAATGTTTGCCAATCGTTTATCTAAGTTCTTTTCTTTAAATCTTTCTTTCAGATAATGGCAGCGCATATTGCAAATGGTACCATAAGATACAAAAACAGTTTCCGCTACGGCGAAGTCTTAAGAGCTGCTGTCGATCAAATCTATATCATCAAAGAGAATGGACAACGTAAGTCTTTTTCGCTTTTTCGTTTTCCTTTTAAGCTCCTCTCTTCAGCCTGAATTACAATTGACTGTGTAAAATATTCAAGTTAGAATTCTCTCAATTTTTTTTTCCTCTTAACCAAAGCAAATTCAACATCTCAAATCGAAATTGTCTCTGATACTGAAGGTCGCGTCAGGCTTTCAGTGAATTTCAAATTATGAGATTAAAAAATGTTTGTAAGATTTAACTTTGGAATTGGTTCTGAACGATATCTGAAAACTTCTAAGAGATTTTATTATATAATTCTTTTTGTTTTAAACTGACATCGAAATAATAATAATAATAATAATAATAATAATAAAAACGCCGCCCAGTATACGAACAACATTACAAGTAATCTACCGTCCTGGGTAAGACGATAAACTACATCCAACAGCAAGGTCTCTGATAGGTAGGTTTTGAGGAGCGTGGAACCACCTCTTAATTGCTGGTGTTCCACCCTTACCCGGGGTGGTAGCACTTGTTATGGTCCCAACTATGGGCATATAGTTAACGCCCAAACTGGGGGCAAAACACTATGCAAGTGTAAAAATAGTTTTTAATACCCGCAATACATTTTTGTAAAATTATTACCAGTCATGAATTTTTGAGGAAAAACATTGTTAGAAGCAATATATTATTACCAACAATACATTTTTGAAAAATAATATTACCAGCAATATATTTTTTGGAAAAAAAATATTACCAGCAATACATTTTTGTAATATTACCAGCAATACTTTTTTTGAAAAAATATTGCCAGCAATAAAAATCTTGTCAGCATTAAATAACTTATTGAGGTTGTTATACCGTAAAAAACAAACCAAACTAAACAAAAGCAGTAATCTAATTCTTCGTTCTCAAGTTTGTAAGCATCAGGATTTACCCTTTCAACGATAGACATCATGTTTTATTGCAGAGTTGTAAATATTAATTGGTGGTTAAAACTTTTCCTAATGTTACAGACATCATTCCTTTCTGAATCGAATCTAAGTGACTAATTGGTAACTCCAAAATTCATGGTGACTATTTACTAGGTTTCATCATGTTATGTCATTTCCATGAATACTAGTCCTGGGTTTGATGATAAGCATCCTCAGGCGGAAAATCCTCTAACGAGTAGATTGGAATTTTTGAGGAGAATCGCCTCTTAATTACTGTATTTCCCAGATCCACTCTTACTCCGGAGTGATAACAATTGTTAGAATTCCAGCTATGGGAACCCCCAAACAAAAGCAAAATATTATGAATGTGTAGAAGTATATTTTTGAAGTGGGGATATCAGGAATCCATTTTTTTAGAGAATTGAATTCTCTTCTGACTTCCTCATTTCAACCTTTGAGGTCAGATAAAGGAAAACAAAGCAAGTCATTTTTGATTGGTTATAACTAGCGTGGGAATGTTAGAGAAATAGAATGGGATTTCGGAGAGTCAGAACTTATACGTCGAAGAATATAGGCGTGTTATTTTCGTTTATGGAAACTGGTTAATAAAATAAGAGTTAAATTAAATTTCCTTTGTTGAAGTTCCCATTTATCTCCGTAACAAAACAACTGGCGATCACCGGCCGAGAAAGAAAGAGGCATCTTTATGAGTGAATCAAGACCGTCGCCTCAAGACCAACCCCCACCAAAGGGCTATACAATAATATTTATGATGATGTTGCCAGCGATGTGCATTTATAGTAAAATTACCAGTAGAACATATTTATAGTACTACCAAGCAATCGACATGAAATAAATCTTCATGTCATTAATTAGCTTCAACCAAATTGCAACATAAAACGCACATATCACTGCCTCTAGTATTTATGTCCACACAAACATGTATATGCACAAAAGCTGAGTATCAATTACCATGTATTCAATTGTGACAGTAGAATAACATATATCCTATTTCTTATTGCTTTAAAGCAACCAAGAAAAATAATTAAATGACCCATGATGTGTTGATATACTGTTAAACAAAATCAATCTATGAATACTTGCTTGTAAATGAAGCTAGAAGAACAAGGCAAAATCAGTCCGAGGTTTAGTCTGTATATTTCTGGAAGAGAAAAGAGGCCAGAAAATGCTGACAATTTGCTGCCAAGAAGGCATAACACTATTATGCACTGAATGCTACAAGAAATAGAATTTTATTAAAAGGTAGCAATTTTAGGAACCAAAATTTGCCTTTTTTTTTCTTTTATCTTTATTTTTTATAATCTAAAAATATCTATATTTTTAGCACATATAAAAAACGCCATTTTTATAGGTTTTTCTATAATTAAAGGAAAAATAAGGATAAAAATAACCTTGTAAAAATGGAGTTTACTTGTTTTTCATTCGTTTGGCGTGCACTGCTTAAGATTTAATTATAATTGTGAATATTTGGTAAATATCAACTACAGTTGCGGCTATTCGACGTGGTGTAATGGTTAACAAGCCTGCCTCCTTAAGTCGACTACAGCTGAGTAGTGAGTTTGATCCTCACAGAGCGTTCCATACTTTTGGCATTATGCTTCATCTAAGCTTCGCGTAGTAAATCATTATATCAAGTACAGTTGGTATATCTGCTTTTTGGCTCTAAAATAGTAAGTCACAGAATATTTTCATAGAAGCGAACCCTTTTTTTTTTTGCTTTTGTTTTCTTAAAGATCGATTACGTGGCGATTACATTTGTTAGCCGGAAATTTTACCGTTCATATCAAAATGGTCATTGAATCTGTAGTAGGCCATTGTTGTTTTAAATAATAAGAGAGAAACTTAGTAGACCATTTCAATTCTGGCGGTGTGGCATTTATTTAAACGATTTAAAGACGGTAGTATCAACGGATGGATAAAGAAAGAAGTTGATTCATTTTATATATGAGCATTTGTTCTGAAGTGAAACCAAACACCGAAACTTGTTCTCGCCTCAACGATAATTTTTTTTCCCGCCGATAACTGTCACACCACCCACAAGAGAAACAAATGAAGATTATTATAGCAGCTTAGAGGGAGTCGGGGATTTGTGCATCCTTTCTTTCACTACACTCCTGACACACGCCACACACATGCGCGCTCGCACACACACACACACATATATATAACATATTTATAACCTATATATATATAACATAATTATAACATATATATATATATATATTGTACTTATTTTATAACATATCTATGTTATAATTTTCGAATATATATATATATATATATATATATATACCCCTCGAAAGTATTGAAACACCATGTATATTGTAATGATTTTATAACATATTTATATACACACACACACACACACACACACATATATATATATAAATATTTTTAAAAAATATATATATATATATATATATATATATATAACATATAGCATATATATAACATATTTATAACATATATATATTGTAGTGATTTTATAACATTTTATCTTATAATTTTCGAATAAATAATTATATATATATATATATATATATATATATATATATATATATATATATATATACCCCCTCCGAAAGTATTGAAAGAAGCAAGGCCATTTCCTTTTTTTGTCGTTCACTGAAGACATTTAAGTTTAAGATCAAAAGATGAATATATGTCAAGAGTTCATAATTTCTGCTTTTATTTGCTGGTATTTACGTTTTGATGTGTTAAACAACATAGGACATACTACCTTTTGTCTGAACCCACTCATTTTTAAGTGAGTAAAGCTATTGAAACACTTGACTGACAGGTGTTTCTTGTTGTTCAGGTGTTGCCTTTTAGATTGATTGCGTAAACATTAAATAACTCTGAATGACTACTCTTGGTTTTAGTCTTGAGTTTGACCTGTAAAGACTGCATTTCTTGCTTAAAAGAATAAACCAACATGAAGATGAGAGAGCTGTCTATGGTAGAAAAGCATTCTGAAGCTGAGAAAAATGGAAACTCAATTAGAACCATTGGACAAACATTGGGCATTGACAACACAACAATTTGGAATATACTGAAAAAGAAAGAAGCTCTTGAGGTACTGAGCAACAGACATAGAACATTTTGTCCTAGGAAACACCGGCAGTTGATGACAGAAACATTGTTAGAGTTGTGACGAAAGACCGCAAAACAACTGTCGATGACAACACCAACAACGTCTATGGTGCAGGGATGAATGTTTCATAATAAACCATTCGAAGAAGACTTTAAGAGTAGAAATATAGTGGCCATACCACAAGATGCAAATCACTGATCAGTAATAAGAATAGGAAGGCCAGAGAGATAAGCAACAAAAGGTTCTGGAAGAATATTTTATGGACTGATAAGACTAAGATTAATATCTAGCAAAATGATTGAAAGACCAAAATATGGAGAAAGAAAGGCTTTGCTTATGATCCAAAGCATAAAAGCTCATCTGTGAAGAATGGTGGAGGCAGTGTCTTGGCTTGGATGTTCATAGTTGTTTCATGAACAGGATCATTTATATTTATTGATGATGTAACTCATGATGCTAGTAGCAGAATGAATTCAGAAGTCTACAGAAACATTTTGCCTGCCAATTTACAGAGAAATGGATCCAAGCTAATGGGGTGAAAGTTTATAACGCAACAGGACAATGAAGCAAATCATACTGCCAACACAAGTAAGGACTTCATTAGCGCGGAAAAAGTGGACAGATTTAGATTGAACAAGTCTGTCAACCCAATATAGCATTTCATCTCCAGAAAAGGAGACTGAAGGAGGAAATTCCTCGAAGCAAACAAGAAGTGAAAGAAGGTGCGTTAAAAGTCTGGAAAAACCATCACAAATGAAGAATACAAGTGTGGTGACGTTAATGGGTAGCAGGCATGATACAGTTATGCAACCAAATATTAAATGTTATTTACTTTAAGACTATCTGTCCCCTTAGATGTACACCTAAAAATAGGGTGATCTGATACAAATTGTGGTATATCCTAAGCTGTTTAGCACATTGAAATTCAAATACCAGGAAATAAAAACTGAAATTCTGAATATTTGTCTAATATTCATTTTTTGATC